ACTCGTAGAAAAAGTATTCTACGCAATCATTACGTAAATAGGTCTTAAAATCTCGTACCTATTACTTAGCACGGTACTTGAAGAACCCTAATTAGGCAATGATTGCATAAAATACGATTGTTTTTAATTTGACAAGGGCAATGCCATTGTAATTGTCATTAAAGGACATTATTACCCATACATTTTATCAATCTATCTCGTTCTATCTTTATTACGGCAATAAGAAAAATAAAATACAAAATATGTAAGATAAAATGCAGTTCATAAACTCGATATCCTATAATAAACTTCGATTGTTAAAATACTAATCTAGGTTGTTGGGCTTTAAACATACAGTCTACTTTTGACGTTCGATGTTAAAAGTACTGTTTTTAATTTAACCGCTTCAATATTCGTCTCACTGTTGAGTGCGTGTTTTTTTTTAATTACATTGTGGAGCAATAGTGAATTTTATTTTAAAAAAGCACCATGAGTTTTATAAACGGTGAAACAACACTGGTAAATAGAAAAAATAAATTTTCCAAGGTGAGTGTAACAATACATCTCCTCACTAAATGCCATATCTGATATATTATTGTAACTAAGTCGGACTTATGATGAATATAAGTTTAAAGAAACTAACATTCTTACTTATTATTCGTAATTAATATTAAGAAAAATGCGTTGTAATTTATTTATCAAAAAATAGTGACAGACATAACATTAATACGAGGAATAAAAATAAACTGGCTGTCCTTGACGGTCGTCTTCACAAAGTCACAAATTAATTTAAGGGGTAATGTATACGCTTCTTAATAAGAATCCGGTTGATAAAATTTGCCATTGCGAGGTTTAAAATTACAGTGAAACAAAAACTTTATAGATACTAGAGGTTATTCATACAACTTCTGGGTAGATACTGGGATGACAAAAATTCGTAGTAGTGACCCGTTTAACAGTTGCAGGTTGTCTCGCATATCGATCTATGAACGAAAATATAAATATAGTATCTGATACCTACTTACTTACTTACCGAAGGGGATCTTGGTCTTCGACACCAAAGAACGTCATTTTGTACAGTTCCTTTAGATCTTTGGCGACTTCATTCTTCCAGCGAATTATAAATGATAAAAGTGCACAAATGTTTATTTGCAAACAGCAAGCCCCTAGAGTTTCTTGCTCATTCTTCTCAGGGAATCTGCCCCAGGAATGAGTGCCTAGAGTTTAATCAATATGACCATTTCAAGTGTCATTTGCTTACCTATGATATAAATATTGAAAAAATTTTTATTGGACTTTCATTCTGGAGATCTTATTCAGCTTTCAGAAGAGAATAATTCTCCATTAATCGTATATTTACTTTTTCATGTGTGATTATAACTCGCAGATAGAATGGGTTTGATACGAACTACAGCTCGAGATTTTAAGGGGTAAATCGAAGGGGGCGAAATAATTTCGGTTTAACAAACAGAAGAACAAACTGATTGCAAAATTTTAAAGAAATGCTAATGGAAATGAGTTTTGAAATTAATTTATATGTTGTAAAGAATAATTCAATGAAACTTAGTTTGGTTTTATACACGACCACTAAAACTCTATTTCTATCTATTTTATTAGATAATGAATATTACAGTGTAGAGGACTTTTTTTATTGAACATTACATTTTGATATTATTTTTGTTATTACACTTATATTGTTTTATATTAACTATTAGCAATCTGCGCTATTTCTGTTAGATATTACCTACTCGACGATGAAAATATTCCTTCATATTGTACCTAAAATTGTAATATTCTGACATTGATAATATGATTAAATTATTGTATTATACACAAAAATTTTAACACAAAACTAGCTTTCAAACTCTTTCCAGAATTATTGCCCGTAAGGGCGCGTTCCCATTACGTCGTGAGGACAGATAGTTGTGTAGCTTAACCGCTCACGCGATACATGCAGCCGTAGACGCATACCACACCTAGAGGTGCTGGTGATGATTTTATACCGATTTATCGGATATCGATGTTATAACAGGTAAAAAAATTAATATTAATTGCTGTTTCGGTAACTACTCTAGCAAACCATAAAGTTTTTAATGCCTGGGTCTGTCATTTAAAAAAAATAAACTACTTCTAAAATACGTCACGACAATCGTGTGAGTATTGTTTGGGCTGATGATTTCGGTGTTTATTTTTTTGAAAACATACCGTAAGTAGCGTTTTTTAAGTTTACCCTGAATATAAATGTTTATAAACTATCCTTTAAGGAGTAATTTCATGGTAAACGTTAGAACCACTCAAACGGAATATTATCATATTTACCCAAGTACACCAAAAATTTCATTAGTGCTTTTTAAGTGCAGGATTTGCGGTGTATTACTGCATTTTATTTGAGATGTTTTTGTTGGTAGTACGGAGTGTATTTATTTAGCAATGCAGAATAATAATTTTTATTTATAAAAACTTGTATTTAAACTGAATGCTTTTCTAGTTTGCGAAACCAAATAGCCGCCATTTTGCGGTAGGAGGAGCGCATCGCGTGAGCGGTTAAAGTGTCGTGGTTTGTATATTCACATGAAGTTGTTCACATCTAGTAAAACACGATTAACGATTCGTTCACGACTTTTCTTACGTTACGACGACAGCCTGTCATGGCAATTTAAAGAGTGAGGATGACAGTCGTCCGATAAAAAAAATATGACGACAGACAAACGCAGCTTCAAAGGATTCTGTTGTGCAAACGAGTCGACAAGGCGGCTGCCGTGAACCGATAAATTGTCGTCACGATCTAGTGGGAACAGCTAGACACGACAGTCGTTCAACGATAAAATAAATGTCCACGACAAAGTCACGACAGATAGTCGTGATATGGGAACAGGCTAGACGCGACAGTAGTAGATAAATAAAACGTTAGGACGTAATGGGAACGCGCTCTAACTTTGTATACAATCAAACGCATGATAGTATTATAATTGTAACGCCTATTAAATCATACATGTTATAATGGTGACCTACGGGTCGCCATTTCCTTATATTTTAACGTACAAACAAACTTGGAACGTTTTATTAGAGTATTTATTTATTACTGCAGTATTTGACTTATCAACTCTTATACAGGCCGTTATCTCTTAGATTAGATAGTGAAACAAATATCCTTAAGGGAAACCCGTGTCCCGTAATGATGCTGTAATATATTGTATATATTACATACTTGATTTAGACCGCAGTCCATAGTTTTTCACGCTAACTTTAGTAGCAGTAGGAGACCTACTATGTGGAAGCTAACGAAGTTAATTCTAAAATTTATAAGAACTGATTTGAATAGACATTCAAACACAACAGTCATTTAAGTCGTATTTCGTGACATTTGGCAAACAATTGCCGCGAATAAAAATATTATGCTAATCCATTGTCTTTACTTATTTACAAATGTTACACGTATCCTGTATCACAGGTATGTTATAACGTGTGAGCACAGACCACGTGTGAGCGTTGTTTGTCATTTTACACCGATTTATAAGTATATTACAAAAATAGCGTGTTGAAGGTTTCGATGCGAATTGAACGGACAGTGTGAGTCGGAACCAGGTACCTTACCAATTATTTGTCCAATGCCTTCACTAGGGCCCAAGTTAAAGTCAATCTAATCTTGTTAGAAGAACAGTTTTGATGCAAAATGCATGAGGAATTTAAAAGAAAGGGAATATATCTGTTTTAGACTTCTAAAAAGATTATGTATTTAGTTTAAGTTAGATGCCCCTAAATGGCGATGAACGTTTTATGCAATTTTTTAAAACGCGGTGTTAAATTGTTCACGGAAATTGTATAAAATACTAAATACACTATCCGTATTATACCTTTGTCTCTGCTCCTCTCCACCCCAAAACCCCTCGTGGTGGCTCCATCCAAGTACGACCCCCTCAGGGAACACCCCCATCTCGTACGTGGGACCCGTCGGCCAAGAGAAGTCCTCAACGACCCTGACAACCCTATCACTTCCGCAACTTTGAAGGCCAACCAGATCGCAAATCAGTCCATCCGCATAGGCACCAACCGTCCTCCGGCGAGGTCATAGAGCCCCTCATTTCAGCACGTACACTGCAGATTCTCTCCTATATCACGCCTTCTGGCGGAAGTCTTCACTAGCGCCTTGAGCTGAGGCCTGAGCTGAGCCGAGGTCCGTGCCCACTTGGGCGCCCTCAGGCCCGCTACTTAGTTTTAAGTTTCGGTTTTGCTTTATTTTAGGGGTTACGAGGTCTCAGCTCGCCCATTTTTCCGGTGGCGCAGTCAAGGCCATCAGCGGCCAACTGCAAAATATCCTTAAAGAAAAACTGTATTATACGGTGGCGCAGTCAAGGTTATCACGCCTTCATGTACATTAATGGCGAATCTGAATTATATTTACTAGGCAACAACATTTAAATTCCTCTGAATAATACGGCGGCAGCGCGAAAACTTTGTCCTCGTGTAACAGGGGCCTATCTGTCGTGTCTGCCTATATGTCGTGACGACAGATGATTGTATATTTAAATGAAGTTGTTCACACATAGAACAACACGATTAACTGTCGTACACTTATTGGACGTTACGACGACAGACTGTCGTGATAACGGGAAGAGCTAGAACGACAGTTGTTCGACGATAAATAAAACATCACAATAAAATTGTGATGACTGATAATCGCAGCTTCAAACGATTCTGTCGTGCAAACGACAAGGCAGCTGCCTGAACCGATAAATTGTCGTTGCGATCTAGAGGGAACCTAGACAAGAGAGTCGTTCAGCGATAAAATAAAAGTCCACGACACAATCACAGCGGATAGTCGTGATATGGGAACAGGCTAGATGTGACAGTCGTCCAACGATAAATAAAACGTTACGACGTAATGGGAGCGCGGTCTATCTCCAACTTAGGGAGTTTAATAGGGAATAAGGGAGGGACCCGAGATAGGGCGACTTATGGCCACGTAGATGAATAAGTAAGTGTACATACAGGTGAGGTTGAACGGACAGAAAATACCGGAAATGAATGGAGATCTGCACGTCTTTATGGGCAGACAGCAGGTGTTAAAAAGGGTAGTGCGGATCCCAAACCTGATGTACGATAAAGTGTGTTGAGTATGATAAAAGAAGCATGAAAATTGGGTGAACGCGTTGAACGGCGCCTTATTTAGGAACTTCTTATAAGAGAGTCTTGGGGTATAAAAGAGTAAGGACAGATGGAGGGGCACGCTTCACGTAAGTCGTCTTGGCCCACTATCCATAAAAATATAAAAACATCCTACAAAAGCAAATCGTAAAAAAGGGTAAGGGTGCTGATGAAATTGAAACAGGCACACGGGACTTGTCAATTTATGTCTCAGGGTGACGGGCGTAGTGGCACTGCCCGTCGAATTTTTGCGATTTAAAGCTCTAAGTGGCACTGGAACTGCAGTGCTATAGACAGGCGTATCCCTTACCACCAGACGTACGACATATTCTTCCCGTCACTGGGTATCATAAAAAAAAGTATGTACAACTTTTATTTATTAACGTTCTTATCTCTTATTTAAAAATGAAGAACTACATAGTTTAGTGCTTTGTTTATACGCTAGAAACAACTCCAAATGATAATTTTCAACACCTTTCTTGATAACGTGTCAATAAGACTCATATAACACCTAACAACACTTATGTTTCCAGAGTTACGTGTACAGTGTGGTGCCGACGCTCGAGTACGACGAAGAGCGCTATCAAACGCCCTGTCAGCGGGTTAATACTCTTAGATTACTATATGCTTTCATTTATATTTATTATTTCACTAACTTTGCCTTTGCCATACATCTTTGCTATAAAGCCTCTGCCTCCGTGGCCGAAAGGTTACCATGACGGACTGCCACGCAGAGGTCCGGGTTCGATTCCCGTGCCCGGAGAAGTATTTGTATGGCCTGCATTTATTTCTCTCGTGAGTTTGGGTGTAATTTGTGGTTGTCTATGTGTGTGTCCATGGCACCCGCGATACAGGGTTTCCCTAGTGTGGGGCTATGAGTGTGTGCGCCTTATTATTATATTACATTAAAATATTCACATGAATTACATAAAGTATATCATCATCCAAATGATGATAAAAATCGATGGGAATGATCTATTTGACTCTTTATATTTTTAGGTCATACAAATATATCATGATGAAACATTTAAAAAACTTTAAAAAATTACAATGATCAAAACGACATTTCTTGTCAGCTGCTGGAAGCTGTATAGGTGCCTAGCTGAGTGAAGAAATAGATTTCTCACAGATGATGATCTCTATGAGAGAATGCCAGAATCTCGCGCTTCATGTCGCTCTCGCGCGAGTCGCGCCCTGTAGTGCTAGCCCAGATCCAACGTCGACAAGCGCCCGATAGCGACTGTCGTTAAACCGCTGGGTAATTTTCAAATTTTGGGATGAATGTAAATTTAATAACTATGCTTCAGTTGAAAACCAAAATTTAGCAGGTTTTCTGAAGTCCTTAAAGATTGTGGCGGATTTGCTCTAAGGCCGTCCTAGGCCCGGACCTAGGGCGGCCGCAAGAAATAACTCAAAGTACCTAAATATTTTAAAGGCTCACGCACATTACGGCGGGCCGCACTGCACTGAAATGAAACTATTTATCCGTATTTAAATCGCGTATGTGTTTTTTAAACAAACGTTGGCTTGTTCGGGCCCTTTACAGGTTCCATGGTCACGATCGGAAGAGTCCTCAGGCGTGTATCTATCAAGACCTGTTTCAAGCCCCTGAGGACGATTTCTCAGTTCCTGAGATCCGTGAAATGCAACATCCTCTTATAGGATGCAGGAGTTTACAAGTTTGACTGCGAGTGCGGTCTCTCTTATATTGGACAAACAAAGCGAAGTATTTGTACCCGCGTCAAAGAACATATAGCTGATGTCAAATACCGTCGCGTAAACAAGTCTGCGCTCTGCGAGCATGTCATGGATAAACACATTGAATGAAGTTTGACAAACCCCAGGGCCTTGTAAAAGAAGTCCATTATCTACCCAGGATGCTGCGAGAGGCAATTGAAATTAAAAAAATCCTAATTTCAAAAGGGAAGATGGTTACTCCGTACCACCAGTTTGGGATCCAGTATTTCCTCTGATGAAAAATCCCAAACAGATATAAGACTGCAGTACTAATTAATATGTTTTAATTTATTCTAATTTCCATTAATAATTAATAATAAATTTAAGTTAATAAAAATTAATATTGTTACAATAAAATAATTTGTTAAACAATGTAGTTTATTTCTTTGTTTATTTAATTAATAACTATTGTAACTATAGTGAAAAAATAGGGTGGTTTGCATTAATATTAGACATAACTGGTTGATGACTGTACCACCTCAGTCAACCGTGACCGTGGGACCTGTGAAGGGCCTGAAACGTCGGTTTGTTTGAAAAAACAAATATACGCGATTTAAATCAGGAGAAATAGTTTCATTTCTTCTGTGTAACAATCGCGAAAACCTAAGAGCACTTTCGTACATTTTATTTATAAAATATAGATATGTCCTGAGAAAGGGGCAGCTGGTACGGACTACATGGCCTGGGGCCTAGGGCAGCCAAGACTGCAAATCCGCCACTGCTTAAACAGGAATATCTCCATATAAAAATGATGTAGAAAGTTAGATATTTTATTCTTAAATAATTAGTATTTTCAGAATTTTATGCGATGGGTGAAATACATCGTATGGTGTAACTAATTAGCACATACCTTAGACATTATTCTTAGGTGTATCGTATATTTTTTACAAGACCATTATTTAATAGTAAATACCTAAACCATTTGATATAGGAAAACAGTTTTTCCCGTTTCTCTTCCGGTGACACGCCTTAAGCATAAACAAGTTATCGACTAACTTTGTTTCGTAGAATCTTTAAACATATCTCCTGAAAAGGTTTCGTTTTACAGAGTGGCCATATTACAGCAAAGGTGCGATAAGCTGCAATATACCGTCACGTCAAAACGTAATTTTTATAAAATTAAGCGTAACGAAAGAAAACTAAACAGGTATAAGTCATTTGATTTTTGGCATATATGAAACCGCATATCAAATCACTTTAATACAGAAACTATATTCAATCAAGGTCTGTAACACAAAAACACGCACCCTATTATCGTAACATTTCGTATTTTATGAAGTGATAAACACTTGAAGTAAGGGGGCGGCATTGTTATGAAAAAATTAAAATAATTAATTAAATAATAAACACTTTTCCTTCTTCGTAGTATTAAAAACTAACGTGTTTTTCTTTACTATTTCAGGGCACAACCCTTTTTTCCAGAAGTACTTAAATTGAAAAAAATATTTTTATGTTAATACCACATTGCATTCAAGTTTTAAATCCATTTGATTCTTCAAATTTATAGATTATACGTGTATAATCGTGGGCTCATCGCGTTTTATCTGCAAGATTAGTTTTGGAATAATTATGTTTAATAAGTTATAAATAAATAAAAGATATCATTCATGTATATATTTTTAATATCGGATGGTTACTAATTGTACTGTAATAGTAATGCGTTCTAGAAGAAACAAATGTGTATCAGCAGCCTTACCATTATTACCATACCATTTGCTGAACTGCCATGCCAAGGTTCCGGGTTCGATTCCCGGGCCTGGAGAAATGCCTACATTTATTTCTCTTGTGAGTTTGTATGTAGTTGTCTATGTTTGTTCATAGTACCCGCGAAACAGGGTTTCTCTATGGTGTGCATTATTATATGTTGTTATTATTATTATTATGATAACAAAATAATAGTAACTCGCGAGAGTATAGAAACTTTGGCCTGGTCTATTGAATTTGGCGCTCTTATAGTATTAGGGCTGCCTCAACTTGCCGCAGCCACGCGATGCATTCAAACGAGGAATGTAACATAAAGTTCTTCGTGATAAGGTTACGTTTGTAAAATGCAATATAATGTTGAAACAAACATTGCTAAATAAAGTGCACATTTTAGTTACCTATCACTAGTCCGAAATGACATTTTCCAGAAACAACGTTTGCTCGAATATTATTACCTCGAAAGTAATTTTGAGAGGAAAATTTTTTTTCTTTTAAACTTTTTTTTGATTTTAAACGAATTTTTGCCCGCGGGGGCAGAGCCGGGGTAACTTTTTTTTTTTGTTAATCCGGGGGAATCTGCTTACAGATACCCCGGCCCCGCGGGGGCAGAGCCGGGGTTATGTGGGACTGGGCTGAGCCCGTGGGACTGGGCTGAGCCCTGAGCAGCCCGATCGCACTAAACCCCCGGAGTGTTCCTCCTCTCCGCTGTAGGTGGGGGTACGGGTACGCTGTTGCACTCGTCGGCGCCCCCACCAGCGGCAGGCCGCGCTCTGCGCAGCCCCTCCACGAGAAGGGAGACACATCGGTCCCCCGACTCCGAATGTAAGGCTCGCCGAACACCAGACGAGCCTTCCATCCCGGGCCCCTTTATGCTGGGCAACGAACTCCCCCGAGTCCGCTACCCAGGGGCCATGGGGGGCCAGGACAGCATCCACTCAACTGTGAAGTAAAGTGGCTGCTCCCCCAGCCCCCGCGGCGGATCTGATGACAGGCTCCACCGCAACACCTAACGCGCTTCCGCGCGGACTCTCCAAAGAGAGTCCCTTGGAGCGCCCACCACGGGCCAACCGCCCACATTCGGCCGCGGAGGATAGGACGAGCGGCAACGACACACCGACACGTCTCTTCCCCCGCGGCCCCGCCGCCACTACATCGTCGAAAGCGGTGCAGACCCGCCAGGGTCGCGGAGGACAGGACGAGCGGCAACGACACACCGACACGTCTCTCCCTCCGCGACCCTCCTCCTCGCGCATCCGCGCGGTCCCGCTGGCCAAACGAGCCCTGCGCGGAACGCCCTCCTCCTCGGGCCAGCCTACCACCACATCGGCCGGCCCCGTGGGTTCCTCTTAGCTTCACCATAAGCGAATCCCACTTGTCTGTGGGCTCCCCTAAGGAATTTAATGCATTTAAATTTTTCGATAAAGTGTCAATCAAATTACGAATGCCACTGTAGAATTCTTTGTTCAGTGGTTGTATAGAAAATAAACACTTTATGTGTTCATTAATTAAAATTCGCTTGTTATCGTAACGATCACGAAGCAAATTCCATGCTATTACGTAGTTATTTACCGACATCGTCACGGAAGCTATGACAGAACTGGCAGGACCCTCTAAATACGATTTTATATAATGAAATTTATTTATATCATTTATGTTATCATTCTCATGAATTAATGATAAATATGTATCACGAAAAGATAGCCAGGTCTGAGGATCGCCGTTGAAAGAACTTATTTTAATAAACGGCAATTTAACATTACCACATTTAGAATTGTTAGAGGAAGCTTCTATTTTATCCTGATTTTCAAAATATTCTAATAAAGACTGAGCTCGAGCAATTAAATTGAAGAATGTATTTTCAGTGGATTCGCGCTCCATCATTTGTTCATCATTTTCTTCGTCTAACATTTATATCTAACATGAATATCCTCGAAGTTGCAAGAGAGGTCACGCATTGTGCTACAACGCAAACGCAGTTCATTTACTTTAACTGCATTTGTATCTTTGCATTCTAATAAAGACGATAAATACCTTTCAAATAAAGTTAAACGTGACCTTATGTGGCCTCTTTGCTTAATAAGATCCTTTAAAGTACTCATTTTGTCGGCACAACAACGTTACTTTTAACCTAACCTAACCGAACCTAATCGTGTCTTTGCGATAAACATCCAACATATCCTGAAAGAACAACGGTTTCGTTATAATTCGGTTTATGATAGGTGCAAAACATCAAAATGCGCGGCGCTTCGCAACATAGCGCTTCAGCGTGAAACACACAGAGAGCGGGCGCGAGTCGGGGGCGGGTCGGGGCTGTACGCGACGGGTCTAATTCCCAGGCATATGAAAAATATAAAAAAACATTTATTTACAAGTATTGTTAATACAATAACAATAATCTCAGTACAGAGTACTAAAAAACCGACCTTAAAAATTCGTGGAATTACATTTATTTGCCAAGTATTATTGACATCGGTTACCGAAAAGTACGCGAAACCGGGTTCATCCCCAAGTTTACCACCCTTAGAGGTGAAATATTTTCTTCAAATTTAAATAGGACCAATACTGAGGTACCCTCTTATCACAAATCGTAATAAGAGTAACCGCTAACATAAAAAATGTATTAGAATAATTTATGCAAATATCTAAGTGAAAAGGCATTTTTATTATAGTAAAATATTATCGTGTATTTCATATTGTGTATTTGGTATCCTGTATTAAAATTATCGTATATTATTCTAGGCCACGTACGATGCGACTGGGAAAGGTGCACATTTACATGAGCCGATTAAATCAGTGAGTAACATTTGAATAAACGGGACCTTGGGGTTTTACGTTGTATTGTCTCTTTTGGGATATATTTACAAATATTCTGCAAATGTCAGAGATTAAAAGTGCTTTGTGTTGTCTTTAATGGGAGTGCGAATAATTTAAATGTTTACATGTTATATAATTGGTGTGGTATATAATTTTATCTTATAAATTTTTATGGTATTCCAAAAATTACTTAATATATAAATAAAAGCAATAGACAAAGCTTGACTCATAAAAACTAAGTTGCTACGTCACATAGTACTTTTCAACAATTGAAGCAATGAGTCAAATTGAAACAATGAAGAAAAGTAAGGACGGTAAAATGCGAAATAGGTGCAAGTGGAGAAGGGTGGAAGGCACGCAGCGAATGCTAAACATTAGACATTTAGTTGAATATAATTTCTTAAGCAAGTCGATGGGAATCTTACGGCCGCTTCACAACTAATACTGTACATAATGTCGTTAATGTCGACACACATAATTTGTATTTAATGTAATTGTGAATACAAAGCATGTTTAGAAGTTGACATGTAACAACATAAGCGTAGTTTCGCCGAGTCTGACTTAAGCAATTACAATAATTATTTCCTGACCAGTCAGCACTTTCCAATAGTATTCTTTTTGAATAGATTAAAGAACATTATTGAATAAATGAATGAGAGATGAATGTTTAGTTATCCGATGACATGTACACTGTTAAATTATAACTTATGAACCTTGTAGGTACCAACGGCACTGTTAATAGTGCTTTTAGGACTATATCTGCTCCTGGCATACCTTACACAGCTGGTGGAAGATGACATGCCCAAGGTGGTTAACGAATCGGACGTCGCCAGAGATGTGAGTCTTTTGTTATACTTTTTAGGCTACAAAATCCTGCTTTCCGAGAATAGCAGTCTGCTGAGGTATCTCATAAAGAATAGGGGTTGCTGCTATTGGTGTCTTCTGGGAGGGTTAAAGTCTTACTTTGACTTTATAATTTAAGCTGAACAAATCCTATTTGGAGACTGCCCACATCTTTGAAGAGTTTTGGAATCTGCTTGGAAACGCTTGCCGACAATTTCACCTGATGTCAAGCGGATATGTAACCAACAGCGGTACCCGTATGTTTAGAAAAAACGCCCATTCACTCTAGCAACGAATTGACCTCAATTGTAGAAATCGGGATCCGCAGATACCGCTAGTGCCACTACCAGCTACCGCCATTACTTTGCCGAGGAGAGAGCAAATTACTTTGTGCGAATGGGTTTCCTTTCGCTGTTAAAGCAACTACTTAATATCAATATTCTAAACTGTATACTCAACGAAAGAAAGCTTGGATTTAAACGCTATCAACTAGGCTATCACAGCACTTAAAAGTCTCAGTACGTACAGCGTAATGGTATTGTGACTTTCAGAACTCCGTGACCTTCAGCGAAGAAGCAGCATGGCGGTACATACACATAATCCAAGGCACCGAGCCGCGCGTCACCGGGACAAAGTATCACCTGAAGAAGACAAAGGACCTCAAAGAACTTCTTGACTCCGTCGCTGAGCAGTCTAATTTGCCTATCAGGACTGATTGGCAAATGGTCACAGGTAGTCTGCATTATATTTTTCTCAAGGACTCCATATAGACAGGTATATACGTATTAAATTACCATATTGTGACTGCGAGTTTGTTGTCTGATTTCGGGATAAAAATCTCCCTTACACGGTATTCCATTAGTATTGTTTTAGCTATTATCATTAGATAATCGAATCCATTTGAATTCGTTTGGGAATTAATCACAAGAGAACTTGACCAATCCAGATCTCAAATAGATACCCAAATAATAATAATAAGCATTTATTTGGGACAAGAATGGATTCCATATCTTATTAGTAACAAGCTTATTAATTATGTTAATCCAGTATATTTCAGTTACATGTACGTCACTCGGAAAGAGTGACGTAAGTCCCTCGATTCCATAATAACAATTTATGATTGTGGCTTCATATTTTATTTATCGAGGATTTTGTTTTTACCACTTGTATCTTATTGACTTATTTATAGATGTTTTGGCCAGCTAATTTCAACAACTGATAGTCCTAAAAAATGCATTTTGTTTATATTAGAATATTTATTTTATTTATTTGATCACATCAGGCAACTACGACCCATATAATATATAACTTAAGGACTAACATAGATACAATATAATCTAGAAACTAAATGACTAATCTAAACGAAGTGCACTTGTCAGCAATGTGTGGCACAATCTGGTGTCAGGTAACCGGCCGCGGAATCGCCGATATACGACACCCTTCAGCCAAAACTCCTCCTTCATGAAGGTCAATAGATGTTCGGTCGGCGCTCTCACCACCGATTAATTAGAATTCACATTGTGGCGGGACTCGACCGCTTGGCTTTTAATCTGATGTACTCCACTATCTCCTCAGATATCGTGGAGTAATGCAGCTGCAGAAAGTTCGATCTTGTCGGCGATGTCTCACATAGGTTACGGCTTCTACTAAATGTAACGTAATTTACTTTTTAAATGGTTCTTAAATCAATCCTTTTTCTTTTCAGGCGACTACTGGCTGTCATTCGTAAACTTGTACCAGAACGTATCAAACATCATCGCTTTGTTGGAAGGCGAGAGTGGGTTCTTGCCCAATGGCACTATCGGAACTTCGTTGCTAGTAAACTGTCATTACGACTCTGTTCCTTTTGCATTGGGTAAGTTAAGGGCATAGTACTGCGCCTTGTAGGACCCTAAACTTTCAAAAAGCTTCCGACAATATAAGCTGTATTTGAACGCGTTAATCTTGCTCGCTGTTTTGTAAAAAGAGTTAATGACTATGCCTTTTTTAGGGAAACAATACTCTCGCAGGCATTGAGTCACCTTAGAAGACGATTAACCAACAAATTTGCACTCGCATAATATGTACCCTATGCGTACAAACTTTAACTGATTGTTGCCCTAATTTATTGACATATTTAGTATTTGATGAGATACCAAAAGACATACATGTTTATATACTTACTACATTTCGTATTCAGTTATTTATGTACTATATTTTTTCCATCATGATTTCCAGGCACTTCGGACGATGCCATTTTCTGCGCAGCGATGATAGAAACTCTCAGCAAGTTGTCGCGGCGTTCGCAAAAACTCAGACACAATGTCATATTTTTATTTAATGGTGCTGAAGAAAATGGTTTGCAAGTAAGTTTTTTTTACGCTCGTAAACGTTTACGTTTTTGTTTATATTCTAAGTACAGAGTATCTGGGAGAACGAAACTCTGGAGGACTCCGGTATTAAAATCCTATAGATCGGATGAGTCTTCTATGACAGCCCTCCTCGATTTGTCTCTAGGAAGTTCACTGCCAAATTTCAATGCCCGGTGAAAGTTAGCCAAAATGTGGCTTTGGTTAAATGCGTTTCCTTCATGCATTGTGAGACACTGCGAGGGCTTTGTCGCGGTCTCAATGCATCATTTTATAAATGAGGTCAATACGCCACATAATTTTTTTCGCTCAAACATACTAATCTATTTTTCAGGCTAGCCACGCTTTTCTGAAACACGAATGGGCTAAAGGTGTGACCAATGTGGTGAATTTAGACTCTGCCGGTATGAACGGAAAGCCAATTATTTTTCAGGTACTAGTAGTAAAATTACTAAAACTTTGGTATAAATTTTGTGATTTTCATTTCTTCTTTATCATTGTCATGTCATCAATAAAAGTCCGCTGATTAACATAAAATATCTCCACTTTGATTTGTCCCGGCCGCTCGCATCCTTGAATCGCAGCTTGAATTTATTTGAGAAAACTTTCATCTAGGTGCCGCAGTGTTCATATCTGTAGCTAGTAATAATAATAATAACGCACACACTCTTAGCCCAGTACCAGAGAAACCCTGTGTTGCGGATGCCATGGACACACACATAGATGTAGCCATACAAATTTTTCTCCCGGCCCGAGAATCGAACCCGGGACCTCTGCGTGTCAGGCCACCATAGTAACTGTTCGGTCATGGTCAAGAAGTATTTGAAGAAAATCGTAGACATAAATCCAAACGATGGAAGCCACGGACAAAATAAAATACTATGGCCAATATATTAGCAAAGTGGTTTTATCTTTAAATAAACGCTTAATTGTTGGAATTATATTGCCAAAATTGACGTACTTAGAATAAAACGTGGTATGTTTGATAAGTCACATAATACGAATCCCGAACGATCGTGTGGTCGTGGATCAAATCACTTAAAATTTTAAAACATATATTTTGAAAGGGATGTCAGAAGCAGCATGTGCCATATTGACAATAACCCATTACATCAACTTTTCCCAGGCGTCAGACCCTCGACTTTTAAGCATGTACCAGAGTGTAGTGAATCGTCCGAATGCCCAAAGCGTAGGAGAGTTCATGTTTGCAAATGGCATTATTCCTTCCGATACGGATTTTAGGATTTGGAGGGATTTTGGAGACATTCATGGTAAGAATAAACACTCGTTAAGAATACGTTACAATGTACAAAACGGTAGGCCTCACCAAGATAATATGTTAAATTGTTGACAATATAATAGGGAATCCCTGGAAAGAGCTTAAGAGAAACTTCTATTTATTGTATGATTTATGTGTCTAGGTGTTGGTTATCACTTTTCATCAGTCGTGGTGACAAACCGGCTTGAGTACCATAAATAGAATAATAGATTTAAAAAGGGATAACAATGCTCCAAGATTTGTTAGGTTTAGCATTGATTCTGTCACTGTATGCATTGACCGGTATATTGTCTATTGAAAATTCATGCAGTCCTTACAGCTATATAATTATCTGCAAAGAATCGTATAACAATCGTGTACCCATTTGCAGGAATCGACATCGCTTTTTCAAAATGGGGCCACGTGTATCACACGCGCTACGATTGCGACGATTTCGTGAAGACCGGCGTGGTCCAGAACGCCGGCAACATGCTGCTGGCCCTCGTTCCCGCGGCCGCTGGCAATGCGGAGCTAGAGACGAAGGTAATATTCCGGCAAGAGCAGGTGTAATCCCTGTTTACTTTTTCTTTACATCAAATCACGAGACGAACAATTCAGAGTTTTAATTCTTTAGGATCTGAGATATCTGAGATATAAAGTTGACAAATCACATGTGACTAGTTTCACCAACATCCTTCGAAACCAGAACTCAGTAACGCTCAAATTAATCCTTGGCAACAGAGACAGTAGTAGTCTCTGGACGCACTGTTTCACAAGGAATGAAGGAACTAACGTTGCTAAAATCAAATGTTCAATGACCTTAATAAATGAGAGTTCTTAAATATTTCACTAACTATATTCACCCGCTCAATAGCCTCTTCAAAATCTAGAGTGCCACAAGCCGGAGCGTGCGTGAAGCAATAGGAGCCATTTGAGTCGCTTCACCTGTTGTCTAATGTAACTTCGACTTATCCTTAGATCGAGCCGTCTGTCGTCGTGTACTTCGACTTCCTGAACTGGTTCCTGGTGTCGTACACGTACGGTGCGTCAGTGGCCGTGGACCTGCTGGTGGCACTGTTCGCCTGTCTCACCGTCGCTTATTACGTGTGGCTCGTCGGACTAAGTGAGCTACTTTGCTTTTATTCCCTAACTCGAAGTAAAGGGCTGGTCTCTAAAGGCTCAGGGAAGTGGAAAACATCGTATGAGGACCAACAAAAGGAACCAAAAATTGTTTCCAGGGCAAGTTTAATACATAAATAAAAACAAAAATCAGTTGTTCCTTGCGTTTTGGTCGACGGTATGAACGTTTAAGAATAATTTAACGTTTCTCCTTGCTGTTGGATTTCATATTTTCTTTTTGCATTGGACCTTTATCAAAACTAGTACGGGGTAGAGCGTACCACTTGCGAGGACTTCTTTCGTTTGTATCCTCCATCCTCCTCCAACATGCACACTTTGCTGCTGCCGTCTCTTTTACCGGCCAATGAGTTGATAACAAAAAAAGACGATAGTAACCTATGACACTGAACTGTGTGCATCAAAAAATGGCTAACCAGCGCGAGTGTGTTTTTAATAGTTTATTGTGTTCGCAATACACTGTGTTCAGTAGTGAACCTGAGGATTTTTCCTCATGTGGCGGCCGTATCCAAGCGGAATTGCTGCCAATGCAACGAAAGAAAAGAAGACTGTGCATGATCCCATGATTGCCTTTTTTTCTTCGACCTGCTACTATATACTTATTCCAGTCCTTATAGGAAGTTACTTGCAAGTGCAGTTACTCGTAATTACCTTTAAGTAAGTACCTTTTAATGTAAGTAACTAAAAATCGCAAAAATACAGTCCACTTATCGGTATTATACATATTCATTTCGCACCACTGCTTGCGATTGGAATCCTCTCCATAGGAAAATGTTATTGGTTTTTTAAAATTTGTTATTCGTTAATCTCGTATTCGTTTAGTATCTTCAACTTTTGACAGGTGTCAACTGTTAAATATGGAAAAATATTTATTTTTCTAAAAAATATCAATTGTTTTAGAATGAAAATTATTCCATGACCCTCCACTTGGCCTCACCCCACAATGGTTTTTACAGCTTTGGGTATTTTGCCCTTTTGAGCCTTTTCTCTACAGTGTAGACCCTGTATTACTATTACCAACTGTTTGGTTTTTCGTGCCTAATAAACGTAAAACACAGTAAAAGCTTCAAAAAGCTATTTACCATGTGGTTACAGTTAGGATTATTACTATTATTACTCGCGTAGTTTCCTCTATAACAAAACGATAACGCGTTTTAGGATACTACTAACGCCATCTACCGACTGGTAGGGAGTATAAAAGGCTTACGTCGCGAGTGTAGTGGCGCTAACTTATTACACTTAAAAATCATTCCTTACAATACGATTGAACGTGATTTCGATGGAAATCAACTTTGGCTAAATAAATAAGTGAATGAATGAATGAATGAATGGATGGATGGATGGATGGATGGATGGATGGATGGATGGATGGATG